GGGGGGGCGCCCCCGGCCGGGCCGTGAGGTGCCTGGCCCTGAGGAGAGGGACGGCCCGGGCCTGCGGGGGTTGCGCTGGAGGAGAGGCCGAGGTGTGGGCCCGCTGTCCTCACGCCTGAGGGCTGGCTCTTTAAAACAGTCTTAGTAGCTTCTCCTTCTCCACGTAGATGCGTTGTTTCTCTCTCTTTAAAAAATACACGGGGTGGTTCTGCCGTGTGTGGAGAGAAATGTGTCTGTTTCTGGCAAGGATGAAGAAAACACCATAAGGATTGTTTTCTGTTTGCTTTTATATTATTTACGTCGTGACTGTGACATTTCTGTCATCTTCTGTGCTACTTATTAACTGTTATCCTAAAAATTTTAATCAAATGTTTCTTCTTTCTTCCCCTGACTTGAAATTGAGAAGATAGTGCCTTTTCAGAGATAAAGCTTCCCTTTCCCGTTTTTTGGCTGTTTTGTTTGTTTGTTTGTTTAAGTATCTCTTTAGGTGAAGTGTTTTTTTTTTTTAAATCTGTTGAAAGATTAAATCAAACTTGTAAACCAATTAGGATAGCCTTAACAGTGAATGTTATTTTTGATAGTCACTAAAGTATGAACAGTATTACCTGATTATAGGTAGTTCCTTGAGGTTCTCAATTGGTTGCTATTTTTTTTTTTTTTCCTTGTTTGGTTGGGTTGTTGAGGTTTTTTTATGTTATCATTATAGTAACTGGACAGCAACAGCATGTTAGTTATCTGTACCATCTTGTGTACTGTTTAGTGTGATGGAATAAGTCAGGGTGTTGGCCCCAAGAAGTTACGCCCTGGTGATTTTTGAAAGCAATTTAGTCTTCAACTTTTGCCAAGATCAGTGGGGTTTACCTTAAAATTAACTTAGTTGTGACTGGTTTATTCCCACCACCACTCCCCAGGAGCAAGAGATCATGATGCAATGTTGTACAATTACCACTGTCAGTCTTGTCACATAAACCACCTGTATAGTAGAAAATGTCCACATAGTGTGTTTATAGTCATGAGAGAAACTCATCTGTGAAGTAGGAGAATTTTTTATAACTGATCCATGAAAACAGCACTGGTCAGACTAGGTGTTGAAATAGTACCAATGCTTTCTGTAGGTGAAGTATGACTTCCTTGAGATCTCTAGGAAATAATAAAGAAGCCTTATAGTCTTGAAAAATATGTAAGCATTGGCATGGGAGATGGGAGAGACTTGTTTAATGGATAATATACATCTGCATTTCTAACTGTTTCCTGCAGAAGCAGAACAGTATAACAGCTCCCTCCCCATCTGCCCCAGTTGTCCTATGCCCTTTATAGCTCCCCTTCAGCAAGTTAAGAGTATTTCTTTCAGCAGTCTAAGTGGAGCCTAGTAAAAGTAACATTCAGAATTTCAGTGGTGGTAGGAGCTAATTTTGAGAGTTAAGCCATTTAATATTTTGGTGGGAAAACCAATGTCGGTAGATCGCATGAGGCTTCACCTTGAGCTTAGTAGCGTTCTAGAACTTGGAGTCAAAGAAAGAAACTGTGGTGTAATTAGCTTCAAGCTAGCATTAGCTTAGAAACCTGAACTGGGCTAGTGTGCCCTGAAATTTGGGTTGCTGTGAATCATGTATCTTATGAAAAAGAAGACTTTTAGTCCCACAGTTCCAATATTTCTAAGACAAATGAATCTTCTACCTGCTCTCAATTCACCTTACAGTCTATAGTGTATTGAGATTGGAATTGTAATTAAATATTCTGTTTAATGTGATTTCATGGATTAGCTGTAAAGAGCTTCTCCTAGCCTTGCAGATGGCTGTTTGAAAAACTGTGCTAAGACAGCAACCAGTACCCAAGGTCACTGGTGTAAAATTTGCTTGTTTCTCCTTCCTCCTTTGTTTGGCACTTTTATATCGATACTTTCTGGGCTGCATTTCTAGTGGTGCAGATTAGTATAATTTTTAATAGAGTGAAATTGATTTAGAATTTTTTTTTTTAATATTTTTTTGTGATCAGCCATGTTTCCAAAGGTGAATAATAAATCTGGTTTTGTTTCAGTCAGTTATTAACCTGTTAGCTAGAAGAATAGGTTAGAAGGGGTACATTCTGCTGCTTATGATTTTGGAAACAGCAGAAAAATGTGTATAGATGGTGTCCCTAGTTTTTCTTATCCCTGATGTTGCTTCCTTTTTTTCTCAGAACTACAATCTTGTTGACCCGAGTTCAGACTTGCTTCTCTCCCATTGCTCTATCTTACTTAAAAGCTTTCTGCTGTTAAAGAACAGTGCAGAGAGCTTCCCTCCCTGATGGTCTGAATTGTTGTGCACAGAGGGTCCCGTCCTCCACTCGATGTAATGAAGAACTGGTGCTAGCTCTGGTTTTTCTTAAACTGATAGTGTGAGCATTTTCCTGTCTGTTCTCCAATGTGTGGTATGGAAGGGTTTTTTTGTGTTTTGTTTTGTTTTTCTTCTGCTACTGCAGTGATTTGCTCATTGCAGCAGCAGAGAAATGTATTTTTGCTGAAGCATTTTCTATGTTCAGTATGAGTTTTCCAAGGACACCTTTGTCTCAGTGTGGCTGAAGGAGCTGAGTGTATAGGAATGAAAATGTGATATACATATATACAGTGTCTTATCTCTCTGGGTTGTTGTTCAGCTGCTGTGTTTTCTATTACTTTATACAAAACCAGAAAAGATGAAATATATATATATATATGTTTTTCTAGTGCTGGTTCCTTCCTCAAGCAGAGCTTGGCAGATTTATTACAGCTAAGATGTGGACAAGCAGTGACTTGAAACATGATTGAGACAGCCGGCCTCACTGCAGTCACTTCCATGATTTTAGAATTGTGCCAGACAAGCCTAGAGACTGGCATGGACATGTTATTGTAGAAATTTAGTAGAATTAATTTTAAATTAGATTATCTACTCTAGATTTGGAATTGGGATTCCAGTTATGAAAGCTTATCTTTGGCAACTTAAACCCTAAAAAGATTTAGTGATCTACATTTAATTTACTACATGAACTTTGACTTCCATACTAAATAAAGAGATGGTGCTTCAAGATTGTTTCCCTGGCTCATACACAAGAAGTTCTTTACAAGTAGTGGAGTGATTGCAGTTTCTTCTCCTCTTTGTGTTTTGCTGTCCACTCAGTGTACATTGGTGGAAACTGCTGTTGCTAAAAACATTTTACCTATTGAACCCAAAGTTTAATGCTTTTTGAGGTTGCTGCTCCCATCAATCTGCTCAGTAAAAATAGCTCATCTTGGTAAGTTGTTTCGACTTCACCAGGACCTGAAGAAGAGGCAGAAAAACCTGTGAAAACTAAGACTGTTTCTTCCAGTAATGGAGGAGAAAGTTCGAGTCGCAGCGCAGAGAAACGGGCAGCTAAAGAAGAAGCTGAAGACTTCACCACAAAGCCTGCTCCTGCCAAAATGTCCAAGTTTGGATTTTCCATAGGCAGTCAGACAGCAAAGAAGGCATCTGCAATATCCATCAAACTAGGATCAAGTGTAAGTTCTCTGAGAGCTTTTTCATTTTAAGGAAAGTGAGGCAAAGGGGAAGTAGCATGGTGGGGCTTCCATGTGGAAGGAAAGCCTTGAATTAAATGTGGGTACCTTTGGTAAAGTTTAAGAATGTGTTGCAGGACCAGCTAGTCATACATGTGTAAGTACTTCAAGGTGATTAATACTAGGTCATTGTCTCAGGAAGCATAAGACTTGATTGAAATGAACTGTAGATCTTTGAACATACAGAATAATTTTGTAATGAGATTTGATAAGTCTGGAATAATTTCCTGAGGGAAATGAGCAGACTTGTTAAACTGTTCAGGCTACTTTGAAATGAGTGCTGGGAGCTTCATTGCATAGGATGCTTAAAGCTACAAAAAAGCAACTGCTCTCCTAGATGGCTTAATAGGTCATCTTCCACTCTGAAGGTCTTATTTTAGCATAGGGAACTCTAGTAATTTTTCAGTGACTTTGCCTGTTCTTTGCAAGGTCAGTGTGATTGATTTATCCTATATGCTTCATTATATAGGGTCCTAAGAATTCTGATTCCCTTTATTGTCCAGTACAAGGTGTCCCTGTGCTTGTTCAGATGTGAATCTGATGCTTCTCTTTACTGCCACAGTAGTCCACTCCTAGCTTGGGAAAGGATAAGCCATATGCTGCCTCTCTACTAAATGCAGTTAATTCACACCTCCCACATACCACTGTGATGGATATGTTATAAATCCTTGTCTGGATTCAATTCAAACTGTAATAATGAAAGGCTTGCACCTGCAATGCCAGCATTTTGCAGATCTACAAAAGATGAAGAGTGGTCTGTTATTTTGAGATGGGAGGGAGATGTGAGCTGGCAGTATTCTAGGGTATAAATGCAATCAGGTCAGCTCAGACTTTGGAAAAATTGACAAAGCTTCCTTCTCTGAGCCACTAGCAAGCACCAGTTTCTCATGTAGAAAGATTCCAATTGCAATAAATATGGTTCAGGATTTCTGGCTTACTGAATTCGGTGGGTGACTGACAGTGCGTCAAACTAGACAGTGCTGAAACTCATCCTGTTTCTCTTTGGTAATTTTTACTTCCTTAGTATGTTATCCCATAAGATAATTAGTAGTACTGTGGAAGCAGACTGTTTCTGCTGACTCAATGCTTTATTAGTGGTCTCAAAGTTACTTTCAGTGTCTCCTGTGTAATATGTAACAATTGTGACTTTGATAGCTTCCTAGACTTATAAATAGCAGAATGTATTTATTGGAAATCAACAATATTTTTAAAGGAGCCTTATATTAATTGGGCTGTATGATACACACTAATGCCAGTTTAATTGTTTTAAGCCAGAAAACTTGTGTTGTTAGAAGATGAGGAAAAAAACATACTCATCTTCTTGGTATTGATGGATAAGAATACCAAGAGAATAATGGCAACAGTAACTTAGTAAAAATTTGAATACTACAATTTTTTAGGTTCTGATTAAATTGTTTGTATCATGCACCACCAGTGGCTGCATAATCCTGCAGTGTGCTAGGAAGCTAAGACTAGCTGCTGGGGAATTGTAAAATGATATGTCTTAGCCTGTTTTTCAGAGTGTATCTTGCAGAAATGAGCAGCTGTTTTCCTTTTTCATTAGAGAGAAACTTTTATCTGTTTGATTCAAACAAAACCACTTCTACCTCTTATTACCTATTTCAGTGAAGATGTTTTATTTCATTTTACCAAAATATTTTAAATGCAAGGGTAGGGTTTTTTTTGAGTTAGTAAACTTACTTGTGCATTTGGTATTTTTCAGAAGCCTAAAGAGCCTGTTCCAACCCTTGCTCCAAAAACCCTTTCTGTAGCAGCAGCTTTCAATGAAGATGAAGATGTGAGTAATAAGCTAATGATAAACACAACTGAAAGTACCATTGTGGGTTAAAGCTAGGCAGAAAGAGCGAGTCATTTAAGGTTCTTTACATAAGTGTCAGGGATTTTCAACCTAGAAACATCTCTTATGTTTCTGTTTAACGACGTACGATTTCATAGCTCTGTGATGGTTCAAGAAATCATTACAGTGCTGTTAACTTTTCCCCAAAAATGAGATGCAGTATATCATTTGAATTAATGATATCTTTCTCTGGGCTTGGTAAAGGGGAAGTGAAGAAAAGTTGTGCTTCTTCTGATTTATTGAATATTTTATTTCCATGTTGCTGCTCTGTCTTACACAGAGGTGAACAAAGGAATTTGTATTTCTTTCTGTAGTCTTGTAGAACCTCTGTTTTGTCCTAAGTACTTCGCTTTCCTTTAAGCCTGTAGTCCATACTATGTATTGTCAGGTGTTTGAAATGTTCAGAAAGCAGCCAACCACACTAACCAGGTTTTCTCTCTGTAGAGTGAGCCAGAAGAAATGCCTCCAGAAGCCAAGATGCGCATGAAGAACATTGGAAGGTAGGTTAACTGTGGTTTGGAGAAGGGGGTGTGAGAGTAACTTCTTGAGCACAGGTCAGATCTTGCAGATGGTTTAGAAATACAGGAAGATAGAATAGGCTCCAAAAGTTTCCCCAAAACCAAGAAAATGTTAATACAGATATTTTCTAATGTTTCAGCTGTAGTACAGAAGTAGCACATTTATATTTGCACTTTGAATCTTATTTGCTGCCTTCTTTCTGTGGAAGAAAGTGAGTTTATATTAAATAGAAGTTGGCTTTGTCCTTGGGAAACTAATAAGTGGGAGTTCCTGCTTGCTGCTAAACTTTGTATCTTTCTGGTTCTCTGCTTTATAAGTTGCCTTGAAGTAAAGTAGTCTGTTCAGATTTTTATACTCTCATTTAAGGGGAAAATGAGAATAATCTATCCAGAGAGACAAAGAGCTTACTTTTGAAATAAATATATATAATTCTTCTGCTTGCCACAAATTTGAGTATTGAGCCAATCCTAAAATAAATAGGGACATTTTCAGAGGAGGCTTCACTTAAGTTAGGAGTTAATTTTGAACATATATATTTAAAAGATATCATCATAGACTGCTTTTAAAATCAATCCCTTGGAGGCTCACTAGTGTTCAGTGCAGTTTTTGCTCCAGTAGCAAATTTGGATCCCCAGTCTTGTAGCCTTTGGCAGCAAGTTTTTCACAGCTGGCAGCAGTTACTGCCACTTCCACTTCTTTTGCTGTCCCTTATCATCACTCTGTCTTGATGTACTGCAGCAATCAGTCTGTGGCCAGCTTAGAGTTGCTGATAGTGAGGATTCTTGATGTCACAGAAATAAAGAAATATGTGGTAGTTTCCGGCAATGTATTGGCCTTGAAATTGTTGTTAATGTCATGTTGCATGAACTACTGTAGATGAGCAGACTTTCTCAACTGATCTTGTTTTACTTTTCACAGGGATACACCAACCTCAGCAGGACCAAATTCCTTCAATAAAGGAAAGCATGGTTTTTCTGACAACCAGAAGCTATGGGAACGAAATATAAAATCTCATCTTGGAAACGTCCATGATCAAGAAAATAACTAAATGATGTGGCTTGAGAGTTGGGTGTCTGGGGGGAGGGCGTAACGTTAAAGGAGCAGTTTCCTTTTTTAAGAATGGTATAAGACTATCTTTGGAGCCACTTTTTTAAGATTTTGAGTGGTACACTAATAACTGAGTTTGAAATTAGAGGTAATTTATGTTTTGTATACAGATTTCAAGGCATTTGCTAATTTTGTAGTTCCATGTGATTAGTTTCAAAAGGTTACAGATAATAAAGAAATTGGAGTGGTACCTTTTTAAGATTATTATTTTTTTTTAAGATTTTTCTTTTTGGTCAGTGGTTAATGAAGGTGGATTAAAAAGGTTACTGTCTCTTTAATCAGGTTAACATTGAATGCTCTTGCATTCTCACTTCTGGCTCCCTCTTCATAACAGGAGAAACAATTAACTCCTAGGAATACTGCTAAAGAAAGTGAGCATTGGCTTGTGCTAGAAGTGTTACTGGACTATTAATTTGAATATAAACTTATGCAGGAAATAATAAGAACCTGGATTATTTTTTTTTCTCTCTGCAGTCACCTGTTCAGTCTCTGCAAACTAGGAATTATGTTGCTCTGAGTGGCTCTGGTAACTTAGCTCTAATTTTGTTCAAAACTTCATGTAGGATGTGTAACCTTCTGTGATCTGTTTCATCCTAAGAAAATGGACCTTGTCTGTAAATTAGATACAGTCTGTAAAGAATATTCACTACAAAGGTAAATCAGTATTTTCAGTGTGCTCCTCTTAAATCATTATTAGCCTTGAATAGTGCTTGTTAGCATTTCCTTGTGGCACACAAAAGCCACTACCAAAAAGACAAGCTAATGTACATTAAGCTTCACATGTGGTTGAATTATTTTACTATGTCTAGAAGGAATAAAAGCCACACCAAAAATGGGTAACTCACTGCTTAAGTATGAGAAATCTAAGATGCACTTTCCCTGTCTTGCTGTTTAAAACAAAATGCCTTGATGCCTGTGACCTCAGTGGATACTATCAGGTTAAAGAAGAACCCTCTTTGCAGTCCTAATGCTTCTAACAAGTGTCAACTTCCAAAGCAAAACTCGGACCTTTTCCCACCTGTCTGGTTTTTGCAGTAATTTGCAGTAATGTTGATAGTTTGATTACTTTAACTTCCTAGCTTTCATTCTGCAGAACAGTGCTGTAGGATTTCAAGCCTAGTAACGAATGACTAAATCTCAGTCTAATTCAGATTGCATATTTTAAAAACATTGTACTAGCAGAACTGGTAAAGAAAATGTCATCAACAACAGCACACTCCCCCAGCCCTCCAAACATAATGTTCTTTTAAAATTGGAACACCTCATAGTGTTGACCACTAAAATCATGTCAGCCCGCAACTAGTTGTAGAATTCTGTATGTTAATTGCTTTCATTCTGCCTCTAAAACCTTTCTTCATGCTAAAGTTGAAACCTGTGAGTGCAGAAAGGAAAGTGCATCTTTAAGTGTATTTTTTATTATTATTATTTTAGGAAAGCTCTGACCACTTAGACCTTTGAGTTTGTAAGTTCTAAAACCTGTTTTTTTTGTATTTTTGTATTGTATGTGTAATCTTTTTTTCTTTTGAAGTCTGATGCAGTTGAATACTTGTAACTATTTTCTTTAAAAGCCTTGTTATAAATGTAACATAAAAACGTATACCTTATTTTCTTTTCCATAGCAGAAATCTTTGGTTTATTTAAAACAAAACACACTTTCATAAATTTGCTTTCAGAACTTCCAAAACTGGTTTGGCCATTGCTGGAACTAGGCAAGGGAAAATTGGCTATGTTTGTTGAAATAAATCGCTTTAAGATAGTGGTAGTTCACAGTGAATAACTATTTTATCTTGGTCCTTAGTAGTTACTTGATGCTGTTGTGGTAACTTGTATTAGGAAAAAGCAGAAGGGAACTTTTGAGTAAGAATAAGAGAATAACTTGGAGACCTATTATTTTTTAGTTAACCTGCCACCAGCAACATTTTCCACATCTTTGGCTGAAGTAGACAATCCTTTCAGCAGCACTTTCTGGTACTTCAGAATCCTTTAGGAAATTGCTAAGAGTCACAACAGACATGCTAGGAAACACCTTCTATGCAAGTGAAAGCAAAAGTCAAGTTTCTCTAGCTTATTTCCATAAATATAATCCTAGACCTTGTGGGAGACTGCAGCAGCTTCTAGAGCTCAGCTGAAGGTGAGCAGAGATCCTGCCTCACTTGATGTATGAGTTCTGTTACTTCTCAGTGCTTCATGGAAGAAAATTGATCTGGATGGCCTAAATCCATTCAGGACTGAGTGCCTAGCAAGCTTGATCTTGTAGCTACAAGGGTGTCTGCTGGTGTTTCATGTCTGACACAGGAGAGAACTCATCTGACAAGTACTGAGGCAAATGTTATCTGGAACTTTGCTTGAAGTTCTAGGCTTTTTTTACAATAGTTATTGTCTTTGCATGAAGTTTGTCTTTGGGGACAAAGTGGGTGTTGTTTTATTGTTCTTTTTCTAAGAATATTCAGAAATCCTAAAGCCTGTGGTAAACTACCTGATCTAGTTATCTTAAGTGCTTCCAGAAGATATGCTGAGACCTTTAGCTGTTTAGTATAGCGAGGTATGTATACCTATCAGTGGTTGAAATGTCTGTCCATGTAACTTGTGCAGTTTTATCTCAGAAAGCTTATGCTTGCTTAGCAGTAAAGCTTTATTTAGCACCTGAGCAGCTTGCAAAACATTCAAGACATTAAGATGTAAGTAGTTACCCAGTAACCATCTCCATACCACCCTGCAGCTGGGCTGCTTTTTAGCCTGCTGGGTTCTAAATGGATCCAAACTCATCTAATGCTAACTATAATTAAATAATAATTAAATAAAATCAAAACAGAAAAACCTGGTGGACTCAGCTACTGGTGGAAGTGATTCAGACACTACTGGTGTAGCCCCTTTCACACCTAATTTCATTCCTTGAAAAGCAGGTCCAGATTCTGAAAATCTGTATTTATCAACAGAAGTACCCAACCAGCCTGTCTGTAAGGTGACTGCTGGATGCTCATTTCATTTTCACTTCACGGGCTTATTCCCATGTCATAGGTGACCAGTTACTCAGCCAACTCTGACAAAATCAGCTGTCAGATGTGTTCCAACGTGACCACCACAGCAGCACCCACGGCTGCCTTCAGGCCCGATGTGTTTGATCTCCATGTGTGCCAGATTTGTAGAGCATCTCCATGTCAGATGCAACTGTGCTGAGCTCTGTCTGTTGGGAGTGGCTCTACCAACACTGTCACTAGGGAGACCTGGAAGAAAAGTCAGCTTTTGAGAAAATGGCAGCTTCTGCTTCCTGAAGAGGCAACCTGAGGTTTGAAATGATTGGCAACCACAGGTGGAACCAGAACTCTTTTCTAGGCAGCTTAAGATAAATCTGTTTGAAGAAGCAACAGAATTTCAGGGTGGCTTGTTGTCACTGTACTTAGTAGCCTTAAATGGTGCTCTGCAAAAAGAGGTTGGGCTTTTTAAAAAATCCTTTGAGGAATGCTTAGTAGCTCTGCCCTTAATCTACGGAAGGGAAGGTTACATTCTACGGTCACAATAATTTGTCTAGTTCCTTTGCCAAGGGACATTAGAACACCATAAAAATTAGACAATGAGCAATTTGCTTTTTATTATATCCTATTAACACCTTGCTTATTTCTTCTAGTTTTATTAACAAAGGGATTTCCTACTGTTCTCTCAATTTTGATATATTGGCATCTATAAAAACTACATAGTGCTTATGTTGAAAAGCTGCTTGTGTTTAATAATGTGGAGCCATTGCTTCAGAGCAGATGCTTGTGTTTAATAATGTGGAGCCATTGCTTCAGAGCAGATGCATAGCTGCTTATCCATAGAATTAAAAGCATGAAACTTGAACAACTACACTTGAGCTCTATATTATAGTGTGTTAAATTCCTGTTCTTGAACTTATATTTAACAGTCAGGAGTGGTGGGAGTCCAGGCAAGAATTAGTTAATAAGACCAGCATTTAAACTCTACAGTGCACCCTTTGCAGTGTAGATACATATAAGCCTGCTGCCCTTCAGGCTAGGTAGAGTAGGTAAGAGTGGCAGTGACTGTCACAGCTGGAAATTAGAGAATGTATTTTTTTGATTCAGTGGCATACAGTGAGCTATTAAATACCTTTGATAATCTCGTGACTTAGTTCTTAAATTTGGTTCTTGGGATAGGGGGTCCTGATGAGACAGAGGCACAAATAAAGCATTTGTGGTTCTGTGGGAAGAGCTCCACTGAAACTTGAGTCGTGAGCCTGTTTATGTTTCCCTTCCAGTAGAAGGGATAAATTTAAGGCAATGCAAGTCATAATAAAAACATAATTTATCTCTCCTTTTCTCCCTCAGCTTTCTGTTTTGTAAACATAGTAGTTGCATATAAAGTGTTGGCTGCTGCTCAGTAGCTTGTTATGAAATCATAATTCTGCCTGTGCTTTTGTGAAAGAAGTGTAACTGTGGCAGCCTTTTGCATTCATACATACACTACCCTCCTGTAGAATTGCAGGCACCAGTGACAGCAATATAGTGTAACTGCAAAATGAGCTAGTATCTTAGGCTGTGCTTAATTTTGTTACTTGGGTGCTTGTTTACCACAATCCTCTCATGTAAAATGTAAGGGTGTGACAAAGTGCTTGGACTACTACACATCTAAAGGCACTGAACAAGTTAATACTGATGTTACCATTTGTGAGGAAGGACATTTTACCTGAGACAAGAAATGCTGCCCTCAGAACAAAACTTTTCATGGGGGTGCAGGACAAACTAACTTTCTGGAAAGTGCCCTCATTGTCATAGCTGTAAGAATACTCCCCAACAGCCCTGTGCCTGAGGATGGCAACAAACCAACCTCAGGCCTCTCAACTTCAGTAGCTTGAACTCTCCAGCATGGCAACAGGTCTTGCTGAAGGACTGCTTGAGAGGTGTGAGGTTCCCTCCACATTGCCAGCAGCAGCTCCAAGACTGGCTCCTGAATGTTATCAAGTGTACACACCATTCCAGTGCTGTAGAAAAGGACAGCTGTTTTAACAGCCAGGAATGACATGGTTTTAGCTCTAGTGGAACCAATGGGGGAGAGAATTACCTGCATACCACTTCGCTGTTTTTCATCTGTAGCTGCATCCCTACCCTCCTAAACAGTGTTTGTTCACTTCAGTGATCAGCCTTTTGAAACACCCATTTTTATATCATTATATACTTCCCCACTTAGCTTGGTT